GAGAACTTTAGTTCTTGGCCAGTTTCCCTTTGGGTACTCAAGCTTCAAGTCTTCCCAGAGCGACTCTGAGTAATGTTGCTTCATGTGGTTCTAGTTTCCAGCTTCAAAAGAGAAAAAAAAAATGGAAGAGGCCAATCCCACTTTAGGTTGCTGAAGGAAAAGACTGGGAAGACCTGAGTCTTTTCATGAAGGAAGAATAGACATCTCTAGCCTCTTTGTTGCTGTGTAGGGATCTTGGGAACCCTGACATGCAAGGGCAAAGGGCATAGATCTGCATTGAAAGAATTTGACCACTCAAGCCTTCTTTCAGTCAGAGACAAAGTTTGTCGTGTCTCCAATAGAAGTGGGTAAGATTTTAAGAATCTGAGCATTTGGTAGAGATAAGACTTTTTTTTTTTTATAAGGAAAAAGATTATGGGAAGATTTGGATGGGATCAAGGAGTGGCAAATAGCCTATGGTGAGCCAGAAGTAACAGAGAAGGGTTCTAGATGGGATTAAGAGGTGGGAAGTAGCCTGGGGTGCTCTGAGAGGTAACAGAGAAAGGAGGGTTGATCTGAGTAGGGGCCACAATGAAAGGACTGTTGAAAGGATTATCTCATATCTAGGTGGGGATGTGTGGGAAAGTTCAGGAGCTGGGTTGCCTTTTAGGGGTCCAAGTCCCATACTCCAGTCATCTTCTTCCCTGACCTTTCTCCAAGAGAGATTTTCATTCCTGCCAGGAGGGGAAGCTGAAGTTTGGGAGCAGAGGCCACCACTGTGCTCTCCTCAGAGAGAGAGGAGGACTGAAGAAGACTATCTGCTTTCTCAAATATTATTAGCCTAGGGGATATGATTGGGTTTCACCTAACTTTTAATCACTTTGTCATTTTTGGGGAAAGAGAGAATCCAAACTCTGCATTTGGGGCAGTGGATAGAATGCTGAAAGATTCATTTTCCTGAGCTCAAATCTGACTTCAAACTTACTAGCTGTGTGACCCTAGCCAACTCACTTCCCCATTTGCCTCAGTTTCCTCATCTGTAAAATGAGCTTTGCCAAGAAAACACTAAATGGGGTCACAAAGAATTGCACACAACTGAAAAACAACTGAACGACAAAGCTCTATATCCAAGACTTGACCCATTTCCCACCTAATGCCAGTTCCATAATGAACATACATAGCAAATAACAAAGAAGCCCATTTATCTAAATCACAGCAAAATAGAAATCAGAGAAGGCATTCATAGGAGAATATACACCAGACAATACAGAATGAAGGAGCTCTCCCATTGGAGCGAGATAACTCATCTCAACCAAAAGAAAATGACCTGGATCTCACACAAGAGGACTACCCCCAAAGTCTCTAGAGTAGCAAGCTGGGAATAGGAACATGACATCCCTCACCACATGTGGACCCTCTCTCCACTTGGGGTGCCATAACCTTACATGTGGGTGATGTGTCCATAGGAAGATAATTTGGTTGCTTGTATTTTGTAGGCTATTTTGGGGCTTGGGGGGGGGGACGATGGACTAAATATTTTCTCCAAAAAAGCTGGGACAATTTACTTTCTGTCCTGTGCTGCTTCAGTAAGTTTTCTCTGGCCAGCCCACTGTGTTTCAAATGGAGCTACTTGACTAATCTTTAAACCCAAATCACTCTGACTTTCATTGAATGGTTAATAATAGTTCCTCAGCCCAAGCCTCTATGAATCTTTGCTTAGGCCTTGTTGGCTTAGAATAAGTGTAAGTAGCAATTGTTTTCTGTTCTGGTGAGAAAACTTGAGAGTCTTCTCCCTTCCAGATTGATATTTTTGTGGCAATGTATTAGACATCTTTGGCCTCAATTCTTACCTAGCACTTAGTTATTGAATGGGTTAGACAAACTGGGGTCTGGGAAAAGACCTTAATTTAGAAAGATTTATTAGGATTTCCCTGTGACTAGGTTTATTTCTGAAGTGAGATTTTGTCTTCCCATTCTGGAAAACACATTTGTTTGCATTTTATTTTGTTTTATTTTTTCATAGAAAATGGACTATTTTTAGAGCCATAATTTTGTTTTTTTCCTGGCTATATCCTGGAATGTTTTTTCAATGCAATTTTATTATTTAAAAAAATTTTTTTTGGGGGGGGCAGGTAGGTGGCACAATGGATAGAGCACTGGCCCTGGAGTCAGGAGGACCTGAGTTCAAATCCAGTCTCAAGCCAGATACTTGACACTGGCTGTGTGACCCTGGGCAAGTCATTTAAACTCAATTGCCTCACAAAAAACCAAAACTAAATAAAACAAAAACAAAAAAAAATTTTGAGGTGTAACAAGTTTATCCTGGCTTTGCTACATCCTACTGTTAAACAATTGCTACATTTATTGATAGCGGGTATTTCTTTAAAGTCCAAATGCTACTAAATGTATATAATTATTTGCTATATTTGATAAGTGAGAAAGTCATTGGTACTATTTTCATGATTTGAATTAATGTCTTTTGCTGTAATATCGAACAAGTTAGGGGTGCTGACACCTTTAGGGGTAATGGGACCCTGAGAATGCCAAGACAGAACTGCCTGGAATGAATTCACATTAAGGCTGTCTTTCAGTCAAGAGGCAGTTTACTGCAACACCAATAGTAGTGGGCAAAGTTCTTTTGGGGAACTTGCAACTTAATGGGTGTGAATCTAAAACTTATATAGAAAAGAGGCAGGGAAAAGAATAATTAGGTAATGCAAGGGCTCCAGGTGTCGGGGAACAGGCATCAGTAATCTATGGATTGGAAAATGTAGGAAACTTTGCAGAGATAATTTTGTTGATAGCAGACACTGAGGGAGAAAAACAAATTTTTTGTTTAGTTGCCAGAGGCATGGACCTTGGGGATCCGGTACAAGGGAGAGTCCTTGGGCCAGCCAGGGACAAAAATCCTTGGGCCAGGCACCCCTGCATCTGTTCTGATGAGAGAATGTGTTCTGCAACAAGGGAAAATTTTCTCACTGGACAGGGGCATATAGAGAAATTGGGAAGCTTCCAGAAACATGATCTCAGGGCTTTTTGGGGTCCAGGTCCCACCACCCCATCAATACTGTAGTATTAAGCACAGTTAATCCAATAGGCCAGTATTGATGTAATACCATACATTTGTTACCATTAATATTTGTGTGTTAATGTGGGCTCACATAGAGAAATCTCTAGAAAAGATGAAAGCTAAGATACTTGAGGAATACTCTTTTGCTTTCTCAGCTGAAAAGCACAGAGGTTCCCTAATGCCAGGAACAGACCCAGTCAAAGAAAAACCCTTGTGAACTGTTAAACGAAAGAAACCCTAGGCCCAAAAAAGGGGAACCTGGAAAGAACCAGTCTAATCACAGTTTACATAGATTATAAATGCATTTATTGCCTGAGAAGGAAAAGCTTGCAAACTGAAACAGTGTCAGTGTTGTGTGACATGTTCAAAGTCTCTTTGGAAAGAATGAAATATTTATACTTTTTTTTGAACAAAGAAAGGAGAAAAGGTAGGAATTTGGACAGATCTTAGGCAGGAATCCTCAGGGAACCAGGGAAATGAGGAATTCCAGATTATTTTCTGTTCTGGTGAGAAAAATTGAGGATCTTCCCCTTCCCAGATTGTTTATTATTTTTGTGGTAATATATTAAGCGTCTTTGGCCTGAATTCTTACCTAGCCCTTAGTTACTGAATGGGTTAGATAAACTGGGGTCTGGGAAAAGACCTTAATTTAGAAAGGTTTTTTAGGATTTCCCTGTGACTAGGTTTATTTCTAAAGCAGGATTTTGTCTTCCCATTCTGGAAAACACTTTTGTTGCCTGGAACGAATTCACACACTCAGGCTTTCAGTCAAGAGGCAGTTTATTGTAATGCCAATCTTAGCGGGTGAAGTTCCTTTGGGGAACTTGCACAGGATTTTTGTCTGAGAGCTCCATAACCAACAGTTAAATGAGTCTCTGAAGATAAGGATATCTCCTGTAAGTCTATAAACCACCATATGGCTCAGGGTCTGCTTCAAAGCTTGGCTTCAGAGTTGCTGATTTTCTGCATGTATAGCTAGGTTTACTCTCAGTCACCACAAAGTTTTGCTGATATGTCAGGCCACTCTGTAGCCTAGCCAATACAGCCAGTCCTCAAACAGTTCTTTGAGTTACTTGGATAATTGAGGCGAGGTAGAGGGTGTTTCCAAGAAAATCAAGGTAGCCATTTTCACAAGCCAAACCTTAAGAATTAGGACATTTTAAGGATATTGGGCTGCAAAGTGAAAGGATTAGAAGAATGTACAATTAAGGCCGCTCATGTTAGGGCAGGTGGGATAACTCAGGAAATTTTTCTAGCCCAGCCTGAGGATTTTGGCTATGGAGATATACCTGAAGAATTAACAGAAAATTATTTCTGGGAATTTCAAACTTCTTCATTCTCTGAGGATGAGGGACTGCTTAAAGATGTAGAAGCCCTGCTAATCAAAGGAACATTCCTACAGAGACTGAGTTATAATAATACCCAATACTCCATCTATGAGTTAAGTGGAGGCCTTTCCTGCTGTGGTATACACATACTATAGGCCCCAAGTTATCATTTTCTCTGGACATGAACCTTGGTCCCTGTAGGGTCTGGAATTCCCCCACCTAGGGAACTCTGTACCTCTCTCCCAAACAGTGGGGCAAGTTTGATGCCAAAGGAAGAGGCCAAAGAGCTCCAGATTGATTATAGTTAGTAGTTTAATCAATTGGATACTTATGTTGGGGCAGTATGATGGATCCCTGCCAAGAGTTTGATAGTCATCAGTCTGGAGTAATAGCTAGACTACAGATTGGATTTCTACAAAGACTCCAGGAAAGCCCAGTGGTAATTATAGAAATCAGGCAAAGGGAGGAGGGGCTATAGAGTATATCACTACTGATTGGTGGATATTTTGATTTTAACAGGTCACCATGGCCTGGCTTCCACCTTACACAGAGTTTAAGTTATGGCTTTCACTTCTCACTGTGTTTTACAGCTTTTCACCAATAGGAACCCTGCAATGCCCCAGAAGAGCAATCCTGGGAAACTTGAGTTGGATAGGTAAGACTGTGCCTGGGACACTAGAATGCCCCTGAGGCTGACAAAGGGATGAGACTCGTCATATAACCCAAGGAGGATAGCTGCCAAGGCAGTAGATATCTTTACAGAGATGAGGCTGAATGTTACCTGGCTAGAGTGTATACAAACTTTAGTTCACATGTTTGAAGGGGAGGATCAGAAGATCCCTACGCTAATTTTTCTCTAATACTGTGTGGCAAGGAGAAAAGTCTGTTTAATTCCTCCTTAGAGTGGAGCAATATATGCAGAGACTGATACAGATATAGGGTGTGGATCCTGAGAATGCAGGGAAAATTATACCAGAGAGACTGTTCCAGGAATTGGTACATGGCCTGCATATAGCTGATAGTGATCAGATCTATGCAGGCACAGAAATCATTCCCAATAATGGCTGAGATGAGACAGGTACTCCTGAGCTTCAAGGATCAATATAATCCACAGGGCTCAGCTTTAGCAGCCTCCAACCTGCTTCTCATTGTGGGGTCTGGGAGTGATGCAGGACAACACCACAAGTCTGGGCTTTAGTGACAGAACCTCAGACTATCATGTAAGAGACGGTATACGACCAATCTCATTCTCCTTGGAGAGGTAGAGGGCCAAGGGAATGGAGGGCACACAGGACTGATGTAATACCACTTCCATCAGGTAATCATCAGAGTAACACATCTATTTTTTGTTATAATTGTGGATTAGATGGATATACTTTGGCATAGATAACGTAACTTTTATCATGAAGTTAAAAATCTTTTATTTATTTATTTTATTTATTTTTAGTTAATCTTTTGATCCAACTTTGGGAAACTGGAGCAGGACCAGGAAAGGATGTTCCCTTGGGTCCCCAAGGACAGTCACATTGACCTCATCTTCAAATCCCTATGGATCTATTCCATCTGGACTCATAGGACTTTGTGCAGATGTGATGGTAAAAATTGAGAATGAGGACTCCAATGCTGTTCTGGACAGTGGATCTCAAAGTACCATCATTTTCCAATCTCATGATGGATATTTGGGTAAAATATCTTTAGAGCCTATGACAGGGCTTATACTCGGTTGGAGTGATAAAGACTATCCATGTGTGGAACATATCCAGGTGAGTTTGAAATTGCTCAAGGAAGTTGTTTTTTGTTGACAGAAAAGTAGACATTCTGGCTCTAGTTTGTCCAGACCTTCCAAGATTCACTGTAGTGTCAGCATTGATTGAACTAATTTTAATCTTTTCAAAATTCTAGCAGGATACTGCAAATAAGAAGCTGGGACTCCATATTTGCATACTTTGACCATCCATGCAGAGACTTTCACAGAGATAGAGGAAAGAGATTCCAGTGAATGTCACAGCAGCTGTAACTGTTCACTTTCTGTGCTGAATCCTGAGGTATTTGACTTTAGAGACTCCACAGTATCACAAGAGTAGAAGGCTAAGTTTAGGCTGTAATTCATCAAGAGGACAGGTGTGTTCTCATTACCTGAGTGGGATATGGGTTGTGCTTGAAGTGCAAGACATAGACTACAACTCACCAATTCCAGACCAGTCAGAGAAAGATTTAGGAAGCTTCCTTTATTTGTAATGGAGGATCTCAGAAACCATCTCAATGAAATGCAGATTAATGGCATCATCACAGAATTCAGTAGCCCTTGTGCCTCATCTGTACGGTGGTGCCTAAGAAGAAAGGAAAGACATAGATGTGTGTTGATTACTGAACTTTGAACAAAAGGACTAAAGTGGATCAGTACATTATGCCATGGCTGGTAGATGCTACCAGATTTATATATATATATATATATATATATATATATATATATATATATATATATATATACGGTGGAGAGAACTGATGGACATTTAACTAGGAAAAGGCTGAGAAAAAAACCTGTCCACCAGCTGTACAAAGACCCAGATATGGGCACTGAAAGTGATGCATCCAGTGAAGGAAACAGTGTGTGGATATTACAGGGCAGGAGAATTGTACCTACAGGTAACTACTTTCATGCTAGAGACTCCTAGGGTACAGATTCAACCCATACAGCTTAAAAATACTAATAGCCAACTAGAATGACTTCCAGCCTAGGTATAGACACACAAGTCTATAATGATTCTGGTAGTTAGCTCACAATGACTATTAGCTCTGGTATAGGAGCAGAGAGAGACAGAACTAAGCTTGTTAGCTAGTCATTAGGCTAAATTATGTTATAGGTAAACCTAACTCTAGGTGACAATACTAGACACTGCTTATGTGAAAAGTGCCTTGCATGTGATTGTATATGTCACAAGTGTGAATTGCTGAATTTTAGAATGCTTGTTTTATTTTGCTATTATATTCATTTGACTGTTTTGTGTTTTGTTCATGTTGTAGTGGTATCTGTTTGCTGATTGTTTTGCATATACAATATTGCTTATTGATTTGTATTCTATATATAAACCTGTAGTTAGTGTTGTAGCTAGGTAGCTTTGTTAGTCATGCTTACTGCTTTTGATTGACTGGTGTGTAATATGTATGTGCCATATATAGTAAATTTTTAACCTCCCTATTTCAACTTTCATGACTTTAAACATTTGCATGATTTTATTACCAACTTCATTTCCACTTTCAAGGGTAATGACAATGCACAATAGAAAAAAACAACGAAAGGTGCTTCACTGATCTTGGTAACCCTACTATTGTAAAAAGCTTGCTGTGCATTCATTGCATGTTTTCACTGTTTGCCTTCAAAATTTGAGTTTTGTGTCAAAATTATGCTTCCCAAAACATAGTGCAAGTCTTTTGGGCTCTAAGCCCAAGCATGCAAAGTCAGAGATGTGGCTTAGTGAGAAAATAAAGGTGTTAGATAAACTTCAAGCTGAGATGTCTGTAAGCTGCTGTTGGCCTAATTGACCAGCTGGCCAGAGACATCTAGGCTGCCAATCGCATCATCCACATAGCCTCAAGGTTAAATGCCAGTTTGCCTCTGCTATGCTCCCATACCCTGAGACCCTTAAGGAAATCAAACAGCACAGGAGGCAGACATCACCAACAGATTAATTCAAGTTGGTGTGTCCTTCACAATCTTCAATGCCATCCACCAACCATGAAGGACAGAGTACCAGAGGTCTTCTGACAGCAGTGACTAAAGTCCCAGCAACATTCTCCTTGGTTTTCAAAGGATGACCAAGGTTTATAGCAATATAGTATACGGTACAATACCCTCACACCACCATTTGACAAAGTGGAAGGTAGGATTCAGTTTAAAAAATGTTTTAGTATTAAGAATTTTACTGGCTGTATAGTATTTATGGTACTGTAGATTTCATGCATTATAAAAAGTAAATATTGTCTGAAATCAATGTTTAAAAATTGAGATGTTAATGCAAAAGATCACAGAATTCTAGGGAATTACTAGTGAGAAAAATGTTTTGCATGTTACCAATTTTATTTTGTGTACTGAATTTTACAGGTTATTTCATGGTTACTGTGTTAGGAAAAGTACATATTATCAGAATTAATGTTTTATTATAAAGAATTTTATGTAGAAAAGTGTATTTTCAGCAATGTCTAGGAAAGATTACAGTTTTTGGTGGTTGCAGGAACCTAACCCTCTATTTCCCATAGGTGAAATGTATCAACATTCTTGTTTTTGACTTTCATGCCATTTTCTAGGAACATTACCCCTGCTAAAGTTGAGAATTAATTATATCTCCGAAATGTACATGTATTATTATATCCTATATGTAGTTAGGCCTATATGTAGTTGTCACTGTGGTATCCTCCTAGATGATGCTCTGTATTATGCCACATCTATTGTGTGTACTGTTAATTGGCATTAGTTTTATTTCAGTTTCAGTGGTACCAAAGGTTGGTTGCTTGTGACACTAGGGACTACAAAGAATTTCAGCCCAGAGAAGAAAGGTAACCTCTGCCCCAAAGCCCATTGGTATGGGACTCTTTCCTTATTGGTGGAAAGAAAAGTCCTGACCTGCATGAGAGGCATGGCAGAATTGGCAAGAAGTTGGCCAGCTGAGTCATCAAACTTCTAGTCTTCTTCAAGTGACATCACCTTGGTCACTCCTGGCTGCCAACTTTGAGAAGGAAGATTGAAGAGGCCAATTCCACTTCAGGTTGCTGAAGGAAAAGACTCTGAGAAAGCCTGAGAGGAACAGTTAGTCTCCATCATGCCCCCTATTCCCAGTTTGTTACTCTAGAACCTTTAGGGATAATTCCCTTTGCATGAGAACTTGGAGCCTCTCTTGGTTGAGTTATCTTGCTTCCAATGCGAGAGCTCCTTCACTCTATTTTTTGGTATATTCTCCCATAAATACTTTCTCCAACCTTTATTTTGTTGCAATTTAGATAAATGAGCTTCTTTACTATTCACTAGGTGTGTGCATTATAGAATTGGCATTATGTGGGAGAGGGTGAGGCTTAGATATAGAGCTTGGGGTTCCTTTTCCCCTCAAAATGACAAAGTGATCAAAAGTTAGATGGAACCCAATCATATCCCCTAGACTAATAATATTTCAGGAAGCACATAGATAAACTTCTAGCTCAGTACCTCCTCTCTTTGAGGAGAGCAAAATGGTGGCCTTTGGCCTCAACTTCCTGCTTCCTCTTTTGGCAGGAATGAAAATCTCTGGAATTGGGTAGAGGGCAAAGAGGTTGGAGATGTCTATTCTGTGTCCCTACAAGCTGCACAAGGATTGACCCTCACCACACATGGCCCCTCACTACACCTAAGAAAGGCCTACTCGCTCCTCTCCTGCTACATAAATTTCTTCCTGAAAGTTAAACAAATACATGATTTTGCCAACTTTAGCTGTACTGCACACGTACAATAAGGGTATATTGGCCCATAGAGATCTGTCCCTGGTGTTTGGTGCTTGACTTTGCTAGTAATTGGTCATTTTGCTACCTGTCAGTACATATAGTAGAACAGATCCTCTTTTACACGGCCAGGATCTACTCTAGTTTTTTTTTCTTCCAAAGCAAGTGATGAGGTAGGTCACTGTGTTGGCAATGGGGCCATTTCCTCTTGAAAAATTATGGACTATTACATATGTGTCTTATTCAAGAGTTCATTGAACGTAAGCAATGATCCTTATATATGTATTTTAATTATGATCATATAGTTGTAAAAATCGAGTTTTTCTTTCAGGACAAAGATAAACAAATTCTTTCACTTTTGTTGTGTTCCTCGGGGAATAAATTAAGTGCAGTAGAACTGGTCAGGATTCAGATTCCTGATTTTCAATGTAGCTAGGTGCTGTAGTGGATAGAGTGCTGGGTTCTAGCAGAAAGTCCTGAGTTCAAATTTGACCTCAGATACTAGCTGTGTGGCTGAGGGCAAGTTGTTTAGCCACTGGCTGCCTCATTTTTTCTTAACTGTAAAAATGGGCATAATAGCATCTACCTCATAGGGTTATTGGTGGGATCAAATGAGCTAAGTATCTTCAAAGTGTTTAACACAGTGTTTGATACATAGCAGGCACTTAATAAATGCTTATTTCTTTCTCCTTTTCTCTTCCCCTTCCCCCTAATGCATTGGGAGCTTCCTACTCAGTGGCTGCCCATTCAAAGCTGTACCTGTATAATATATTTCACCAAAGTCTTTTTGGTTTTTGAAAAGTTATGTCAAGGTTCTGACCGCTTTCTTCTTGCCACTACTAAGGAGTTTTCCCTAAAAGGTCAAGGACATGAATAATGAATCAATCTGCAAATATTTATGAAGTACCTACTATGTGCCATGCACTGTACTAGGGAATGAACTAATTTCCACTCACAAAAAGCTTAAACATTCCAAAAGGGGTGTACAAGTGCATACAGAATAAAAATAAAGAGAATAAATGCAAAATATTTATAGAAAAGATCATTTAATAGGGAGGCACTAGCAGTTGAGGGCATCAAGAAAAGCTTCATGGTGTTTGACTTGTGTCTTGAGTGATGAGAGAGATTCTGTGAGACAGGGGTGAGGAAAGAGTACATTCCAGGCATAAGGAACATCCAGCACAAAGGACAAAAGTCCTGAAGCTGCAACATGGAGTGTTGTGTATGAGAAACATTGAGAAGGTCAGTTTGGCTGGTTCATATTGTGAGAGATGAGTAGCAGAGGCCGATGAGGCTAGGATGATCTGCTGGGGGCAGGTGGTGAAGGGCTTTAAAAGCTAAATGGAAAAAAAAAAGTAAATGGAGGGATTTATATTTAATTCAAAATGCAATATTTGTCTACTAGAACTTATTGAGTAGAGGAGTGACATCATCAGATTTGTCCTTAAGGAGAATATGGACTAACTGAAATGGGGAGAGACTTGAGGCAAGAAGAATGATTAGGAAGACTTTGAAGTAATTAGG